ACACACACACACACACACACAAACTCACACCCACACACACACTCAAAAAAAGATCATACAAAAAAGTGCTCATCGTCCAGTTAAACATTACAATATAGAAACAATAATACAATACAGAGTGCTGACAAATCTAATCCAAGCAGTCAAGTTTCGGGCGCTGTCAAGCATTTTTATATTAAATAATATGATATCAAGAGACCCAGTCAAAGTATAATTATACTCGAAATTCTTTATACAGAAACATATTATGTATATATACAAAACATAAACATGACTGTGTATTTCGTGAGGTAAAAAAAATGGAGATTCAAAAAGGGGGGTAGGAAGGAAAGAAGGGACAATTTAGACGAAATTGAGACAAATATATAGACAGAAAAAGGAAAGCAAGATCAAAATCCTATTTGGTCACTTTTAAGGACAAGCAGGCTAACCGAGATTTTGGGGGTTCCCAGAATCTAGAAATCTTGACCTACACAAAAAGTGTGCATAGCCCTACCTATGGGAGAAGTTGGTTTCATTGGTATGTATTTGTTTGGTTATAGGGAACATGAATAATCTCTTTGCCTTTAAGAGAAACTGAACAAGGGTTAAAAAACTTTACCTTCGATTTTCTCATAACAGTATTTTTCGGGATAGCCCCCTTGTGCTTAAAAGCGACCATCTGATACAACAATAACACTTTAAATAAACAATCTTAAATATTTATAAGCACACCATCGTAAGTTCAATGGCACAGCGCCATTTTAGAGCTGGGACTAATGAGCGCCATTTGAGAATAAATAGGACAAACATGTCTTGCTCAGTGACAGGACGCAATGATTACTCATCTGAGAGCTACCTAAATAATACAGAAGCAAAATTTGTGAGAAAAATGGACGCTGAAGTTTGGAAACTTCCATAACCTGAGAGTCATTGGAAACTGAAAATTTAATAAAAGTAAAATCCTTACAAAAATGTGTTATTAAATGGGCATAAAAAGTGTTGAGCCAAAAAAAGAAATTAGAAAAAAATTCACATCGTCGGCCCAAAAATGCCGATTTCTTTGATTTCATTATTTTGACGAGCGCCTGATTTCACCACGCTGCCTCACATATAGTATCCTTGCATGAGGACGATGACAATAGATAGTCTAAACGTCCCCTGGCAGGAATTGAACTCGCATATTTTGTATATAAATTAAAGAGTTGACCCATTACGCCGCACACAGACGCTGGTAATAGCGAGTGAAGATGACAAAAATAACAATTAGTAGATTTGAAAGAGTTGGTAACTACTGGGAAGGGGTGTTCTCCAACCATCAACGATCGAAAAAACAAACAAAATAACTTAGGTATAATATTTGTGACAGTAATACTTTCTTCCACAATAGTAGGTCTGCAAGATGCACGAAGCAATACTATATCCAAGAATTTTAAAAAATCCTATACTCTTAAAAAAGTCACAACGTTAACACAACTGACTGAGAAAATCAACTTCCAGAATCTTACCTCAAGCTTTACTCGAGTCAAACAGTGGGAGAAGGCGTCGAGAATCTTCGTTGCAAGTATTCTTATTATTTTTTAATCCAACTGTCTGTCGCCTCCTGTGTCCAACAGTCAAGACAAGCTCCAGAACAACAACTGACAGTCACGCTCGAAACTCTTTCATTAAGCTGGTGACTTGAGGAGAGTGGGCACTATTCGATATCTATGTTCGATACTGCTACATGGTGGCCCTTCTAAAACATGAACTCGATACAGATGAGGCTGGTGCTCGACGTTATTCAATAGTATAATATTAAATATAGTGAACCTATTGTGTTGTTCAGCGAAGAATGTGATGTGTTTGTGAGTGCAGAAATAGAAATAATAATAGTAAATAATAATAAATAGCATTTGTATAGCGCATGTCCCCACTTGAAAGCAAGCTCTATGCGCTTTACACTATATTATTACCCCAGTAGACCTTAGAAAACACTCAAAACATTCTCAGCTTCCCGGGAAGCATACAGTGCAAGCAGCTGGTTAAGCGCTCAAACACTAACAAACTGACAATATCTTTCACTGTCTATAGCTGAATACCCATTTTTACCAGGGTGAAGTGGGAAAAATTCGTATAAAGTGCCTTTCCCAGGACACAACGTCATTATCAGATCCAACTACTCACTAACCTTTATGAATGCAATCTTGCATTCTGACAAACCCTTGCCATAAGCATATACGCCTGCATCTTTTTTAACGATACCAACTGATCGTCATTCTACATGTATAAAAAAATCTAGTATACAATGGTCCAGATTGGATTTCACAAACGAACTGATATATCAGCTCGTCACTCTCATCTATAACACACAAAACGCACGGCCTCACACAAAGCAAACAAACACATACACTTGCATTCATACACACATATACACACTCTCCCACTCTTCCTCTCTCCGCCCCCCCCCCT